CAGAAGCCTCCTGTGCCTGTGTGCCCCTCCACACTTTTAGGCGCTGCTTTAGTCCATTTCTTGTTACCACAACAGAATACCTGTGGCTGGTAGTATACAAGGAAAAGAGGTTTATTTATCTCACGGTTCCACAGGCTGGGAATTTCCAGGGCATGGCCCTGGCTTCTGGTGAGGGCTTCCATGCTACATCATCACATGGCAGAAAAGGTCAAAGGGAAGCAGACAGGTGCAAAGAGGGAAACCTGAGGGGTGCCCTGGCTTTATAGCAGCCTACTATTCTTGGAAACCCATCCATTCCTATGAGAACTGATCTGGTCTTGCCAGAACGAGAACTCATTTACTACGGTGAGCACAGTACCAGCCGTTCATGAGGGATCTGTCCCCACAACCCAAACACCTCCTACTAGGCCTACCTCCAGCACTGCCCCTTTGGGGATCAAATTTCAACATGAGTTTTAGTGGGGACAACCCCATCCAAACCATAGCACTGACTGTGCCGCTGTCCTCACCCCTCACTGACCCAGGATAAGTCTCCCCTGGAGACATTTTCAAATCCAAAGGTATTGCAGTGGAGTGGAGTGTTATAGGAACGCAGCCATAGAAAGTCCGTAGCTGTCTTTTGTGAGCAGCTGTGCAATGAATAATTAAATGATTTCCCCAAGGTCACAATGTATAGATTTGAAATTGCCCCTCTATCTAGTTAAGACCCAAGAAACAGGTTTTCTCGATATTGATTTGCCAGAGATCTGGATGAGAAATAATTTTTTGTTCTCATTTATTCATAAATAAAATTTGGCTACTCTGTGTTAGGCTCTTGACTAGGGACTGGATATGTTGCAATAGACAAAACAAATACATCAATTTAATGGATTTATAAATAAATGATTTCATGGAGTCAGGAGTCTAGTGGACAGTCAAAACAAAGATATGGCTGGGTGCAGTTTCACGCCTGTAATCCAAGCACTTTGGGAAGACAAGACAGGCCAGAAGTTTGAGGCTGCAGTGAGCTATGATCGCACTACTGCACTCCAGCCTGGGCAACAGAGGAGACCTTGTCCCTTAAAACACACACACACGCATACACACATGCACATGCACACATACACAGATATAATCACTCAAAAAACATGTACAGTCATGCACTACTTAATGATGGTGATATGTTTTGAGAAATCCATCATTAGGCAATTTGTCATTGTTGGAACATCCCAGAGTGACTTCCACAAGCCTAGATGGTATAGTTTACTACACACTTAGGTTGTATGGCATAGCCTATTGCTCCTAGGTTACACACCTGTACAGTATATTTCTGTATACTGAATGCTAAAGGTAATTAGAACATAATGGTAAGTATTTGTGTGTCTAAACATATCTAAACACAGAAAAGGAGTTCATTCACCTCCCTTTCTGCGTCTGCTGCTGCCATAGCTCCTGTGAAAAACTTTGTGGTGAAGGGGGGCAAAAAAAAAAAGAAGCAGGTTCTGGCTGGGCGTGGTGGCTCACGCCTGTAATCCCAGCACTTTGGGAGGCTGAGGTGAGTGGATCATGAGGTCAGGAGATCGAGACCATCCTGGCTCACATGGTGAAGCCCCGTCTCTACTAAAAATACAAAAAAAATTAGCCGGGCGTGGTGGCAGGTGCCTATAGTCTCAGCTACTCAGGAGGCTGAGGCAGGAGAATGGTGTGAACTCAGGAGGCGGAACTTGCAGTGAGTTGAGATGGAGCCACTGCACTCCAGCCTGGGCGGCAGAGCAAGACTCCGTCTCAAATAAAAAAAAGGCAGAGCAAGACTCTGTCTCAAATAAAAAAAAAAAAAAGAAGAAGAAGAAGAAGCAGGTTCTGAAGTTCACTCTTGATTGCACCCACCCCGTAGAAGATGGAATCATGGATGCTGCCAATTTTGAGCAGTTTTTGTGAGAAAGGATCAAAGTGAACAGAAAAGCTGGGAACTTTGGTGGATGGGTGGTGACCATAGAAAGGAGCAAGAGCAAGATCACTGTGACATCCAAGGTCCCTTTCTCCAAAAGGTATTTGAAATATCTCAACAAAAAAAATTTGAAGAATATTGGGCTGCGCCTAGTTGCTAACAGCAAAGAGTTATGAATTACATTACTTCCAGATTAACCAGGACGAAGAAGAGGAGGAAGACAAGGATTAAATTTCATTTATCTGGAATATTTTGTATGCGTTCTTGAATAAAACTTGGGAACCAAAAAAAAAAAAAAAAAAAAAAAAAACCACACTGAAAAGAAACAGTAAAAATACAATATTATATTCTTGTAGGGCCATCATTGTATATATGGCCTGTTGTCCAAAATGTCATAATGTACATGACTGCAACTACAAGTTGTTTTATGTGCTATGAAAAAGAAGCACAGGTGCTCATTTGGAATGGTGGTGAGGGAAAGTCACTCTGAAGAGGTGAAATGTAAGCCAGTCTCAAAGATGACAACACACCAACCAGGTAGAGAGCAGTGGGCAGTCGGTGGGGCAGGAAGAGCATTCTGGACAGAGAGAACAGCATTGTGTGGAGATCCAGGGATGAGAGAGAATGACGCAAAGGCAGGCACTGCAAGAAGGCCATTGCAACTGGTGCAAAGGGGAAAGTTGCAGCAGGTGTGGCTAGACAGATAGTTGGGGGAAAGATCAATCTGGCTTGTTATGTATTTTGGATTTTACACTGCATATAATGGGAGATCATTGGAGGGATTAAAAGATGACTCTGGCTCCTAGGTAGAGAATACTTTGAAAAGGTCAGTAATAGGAGATTAATTCGGTTGTTGTAGAAGTTGAAATGAGAGTTGATGGTGGCTTGGACTAGAGTTATAAGGGAACAGGTAGAAAGCAGTAGAGGGATTTTAAGTATATTCTGGAGGTGAAATCAACAGAACTTGTAAATGACTTGGATGTTGAGAATGCAAAAGAGGGAGGTGTCCAGAATGACTCCCAGGTTTCTCCTATCAAGAGTTGGATAGAAAGAGACGCCATTTCCTAAAATGGAGACTGCTGAGAGAGAAGCAAACTATGGGAAGAAGAGTTAGAGTTCTCTTTAAACTCTGTTAAGTTAAAGATATCCAAATACAGGTGGCAACCATGGGCAGTCAGATAATATGGATCTGGAGTTCAAATATAGGTGGCAACCATGGGCAGTCAGATAATATGGATCTGGAGTTCAGACAGAGTCTGATTAAAATATGAATTAATCTGTAAGTAGGAGATATTTAAAGCTGTGGAAATCAGTAGATTAACCAGGCAGTGAATGTACATGCGGTGAGGAGAAATGAGGGCTTAGAATACAAACTGGAGGAACTCCCAACATCTAGAGGTCAAGTAAAGGAGGAGGAATCAGCAAATTCGACTGAGGAGTGGCCAGACATGTGGAAGACAACATAAAGAGTATGGTATTGCAGAGGCCAAGGTGAAGCTACGATAGGTCAAAGAAGATGGAAATCATTGGGGTCATGGATTGGGCAACATGGAAGTCACCAAAGACCTTTCTGATAGCTGTTTTTGAGCATGCAAGCCAATGTTGAAATGGATTGAAAAGAAGGTATTTATATTTCTGGCAATATATGGGATTAATTATCCTGGAAAATCTTTCTATGTAAAGTGCCTGGAAATGTTGGATAAATACAAGAAGTCATTTTTTTAATGCATATCTTACCCAGGAAAATAAAGGAAATCTCTAGGGGTGGAAAAAAAGAGAGGTGCCTTGAAACCTCAGAATTTTAGCTGATTCTGAAACTAGAACCGCCCTAGAGGCATTTGCCAGTCTTGGAAACCGAGAAACTTAAGTTTACCAGCTGTCCAATAAGAGACAGAAATCTCTTGGGACCTTAAAAGGTAGGAAGTTAGAATTGAGACCCCTCCAAATACAATTGGAATCCTCAAAGGGTGACACATTGAGTGAAAAATGGAATAGGAAAAATCTGCTACCTGGTGAAAGGAGATGGCAAAGGAAGTTCTCTCTCTTGACCTGGGTGGGAAAAACTAAAGACTGTTCCTTAGAATTGAAAACCACATGTCCTCTCACATGTATTTGGGGTTCAAAGTTGCACCACCTAGATGTTGTGGATAATCCCTGGATAAGAAATTACACTGTATGTAATTCTATAGTGTACAAGAACATCTACTGGAAACAAAGCAAATCCTCTTTGGAAGGACACATCCTCTACACAGGCATTCCAAGCCTCACCAGAAATGAGCTCACAATCCAAAATTACAAGACACAAGAAGTAGTGCCACTGAGTTCTTGGACAACAACAAACTATATGGTTTCTCAAGAGCATTTGGAATTAGAATCATTAGTTATAGAGTACTAAATATGTATGTTTAACACGTTTAAAGAAATAAAAGGTGGGGGAAAACATGAAAGAACAGAATGCCATCTACAAGGAAGAGAAGCTTGGAAAAGAACAAAATAGTGTTTCTAGTAATAAAAATATAAGTATTTAAGTGGATATTTCAATGATACTTAAACAACAGACTAAATACAACTGAAGAGAGGACTTGGAGGTAATCTGGCATCACCCAGAAAGACACATGGCTTAAGAGACATGGAGGACAGAGTGAGAAGGTTGACAACATGTCTAGATGAAGAGAATCAGGAGACAGGTGGGAGAGCATATTCCGAGGAAGTGCCTGAGAAGTTTCTGGAGATCATGAAAAGCATGACTTCTAATTCGGGAATCATACTGTATCCTGGGTAAGATTATATATATATATATATATATATATATATATATATATATATATATATTTTTTTTTTTTTATTTCTTTGAGACGGAGTTGCACTCTTGTTGCCCAGGCTGGAGTGCAATGGCGCGATCTCAGCTCACCACAACCTCCACCTCCCAGGTTCAAGCAATTCTCCTGCCTCAGCCTCCTGAGTAGCTGGAATTACAGGCATGCACCACCACACCTGGCTAATTTTGTATTTTTAGTAGAGACAGGGTTTCTCAATGTTGAGGCTGGTCTCGAACTCCTGACCTCAGGTGATCTGACAGCCTTGGCCTCCCAAAGTGCTGGGATTACAGTAGTGAGCCACCGCGCCCGGCCTGGGTAAGATTGTTAAAGGGAAATCTATGCCTGGACACAGAGTGGTGGGATCAGACAGGGCACTAGGGACAGAGACTTTTACAGCTGCCATAAGAAAAGGCAGACGAGCAGCAGTTCATGCAGCTGTGGAATTCTCAATGAGAACCAGAGGACAGCAGAATCATGCCTTTAAAGCATGGCCAGAATACAAATGTTGACCTCGAAATGCTGCCCCAGCTAAACCAACGTCCAGCAACGGCCCAAGAAACAAGACAGAAACTGCTTTCCACCAACGGGTTCCCACTGTGAAGGGGTCTTTGGACTGCCAAAGGGTGCACGCTAGGGTGAAGTGGGCAGAGGGTGCCCCCAGAAAAGACACACATCTGAGATGTCAGGGGACTTGGGGAGCAAAGAATTAGATGGGTAAAGTTGGGCAAATATGTAAAATAGTGGTAATAAAGGGTTCACTTTGGCCGGTTATAGACAACGTGAGCCCTGTTCACCCCCATCTAGAGCCCCCCCGCGCAGCGGGAGGGGTCCCTCGGCCCAGAAAGTCGTGGCTCCCGTGAGCCCTCGCGCTGGCGGCCGGTGCGCAGGCGCCCACGCGTGTACGGTAGGTTCTGGAACGCGGCCGCAGAGGGGTCTGGCGCCATGTTGGGACTGAGGGGAAGGAAGAGAAGCTCCTGAAGCGGCGGGCGCGCAGCGGGAGCGGGAGTGGGGTCGGACCAGGGCAGCTAGAAGCCCTGCCCTTCCCTCCTCAGAGGATCATGACCCGGGCGGCGGCCGCGAAGGTCGCGGTGGTGGGGGACGTGCCCTGGAGGGGCGGGTGCTGAAAGGTGATGCCGTTTCCGGTGACAACCCAGGGACCACCGCAGCAGGCGCCGCCGCCGAAGTGCTACGGCATCTCCTCGCCTATCAGCCTAGCGGTCCCCAAGGAGACGGACTGCCTTCTCACCCAGAGGCTAATAGAAACCCTCAGGCCCTTCGGGGTCTTCGAAGAGGAAGAGGAACTGCAGCGCAGGATTTTAGTTTTGGAAAAATTAAATAATCTGGTAAAGGAATGGATACGCGAAATCAGTGAAAGCAAGAGCCTTCCCCAGTCTGTAATTGAAAACGTTGGCGGAAAGATTTTTACGTTTGGCTCTTACAGATTAGGAGTACATACGAAAGGTGCAGATATTGACGCCTTGTGCGTTGCACCAAGGCATGTGGATCGAAGCGACTTTTTCACCTCATTCTATGTTAAACTGAAACTACAGGAGGAAGTAAAAGATTTAAGGGCTGTTGAGGAGGCATTTGTGCCAGTTATCAAACTCTGTTTTGATGGGATAGAGATTGATATTTTATTTGCAAGATTAGCACTACAGACTATTCCAGAAGATTTGGACCTAAGAGATGACAGTCTGCTTAAAAATTTAGACATTAGATGCATAAGAAGCCTTAACGGTTGCCGGGTAACCGATGAAATTTTACATCTAGTGCCAAACATTGACAACTTCAGGTTGACTCTAAGAGCCATCAAACTGTGGGCCAAGTGCCACAATATCTATTCCAATATATTAGGTTTCCTCGGAGGTGTTTCCTGGGCCATGCTGGTAGCAAGAACTTGTCAGCTTTATCCAAATGCAGTAGCGTCAACTCTCGTGCGGAAATTCTTCTTGGTATTTTCGGAATGGGAATGGCCAAACCCAGTGTTACTGAAAGAGCCTGAAGAACGGAATCTTAATTTGCCTGTATGGGACCCAAGAGTAAATCCCAGTGATAGGTACCATCTTATGCCCATCATCACACCAGCATACCCACAGCAGAACTCCACATACAACGTGTCTGTTTCAACCAGGATGGTCATGATTGAGGAGTTTAAACAGGGACTTGCTATCACACACGAGATTTTGCTGAGTAAGGCTGAGTGGTCCAAACTCTTTGAAGCTCCAAGCTTCTTTCAGAAGTACAAGCATTATATTGTACTTCTGGCAAGTGCACCAACAGAAAAACAGCATTTAGAATGGGTGGGCTTGGTGGAATCAAAGATCCGAATCCTGGTTGGGAGCTTAGAGAAGAATGAATTTATTACACTGGCACATGTGAATCCACAGTCATTTCCAGCACCCAAAGAAAATCCTGATATGGAAGAATTTCGTACAATGTGGGTGATTGGGTTAGTGCTAAAAAAGCCAGAAAACTCTGAAATTCTCAGTATTGATCTCACCTATGATATCCAGTCTTTCACAGATACTGTTTATAGGCAAGCAATGAATAGTAAGATGTTTGAGATGGGTATGAAAATTACTGCAATGCATTTAAGAAGAAAGGAGCTTCACCAGCTGCTGCCTCATCATGTGCTTCAGGACAAGAAAGCACACGCAACGGAAGGTAGAAGATTGACAGATCTGAACGACAGCAGCTTTGACTTGTCTGCAGGCTGTGAAAACAGCATGTCTGTGCCTTCATCTACTAGCACTATGAAGACAGGCCCATTGATTAGCAGTTCTCAGGGTAGAAATAGTCCTGCCCTGGCTGTAATGACAGCATCGATGGCTAATGTACAGGCTACTGAAATTTCCTTGCAACAGATGAATACCAATGAAAGTTCAGGGGTTGCATTAAATGAAAGTATTCCTCACGCTGTCTCTCAACCTGCCATTTCTCCATCACCAAAGGCCATGGTTGCCAGAGTTGTTTCTTCGACATGTCTCATAAGCCATCCAGACCTTCAGGAAACGCAGCAACAAACATATCTAATCCTATAGTTGGAGTCTAGAGGATATTCTTGCCTCATAAAGAAGAAAGGACCAAGAAAAGCAAAACAGAAGAGGAGAAACTCAATACAAAGACAAGTACAACTCCATTAGAAAAATTCAGACAGCATCTTCTCTGTTGGCCTCTCAGGTAACATCAGTATAGGTCTTTCCAGTATCCCCATTCTCCCTGCAAATCCAGTTCCTGTTATCAAGAATTCAGTAAAAAAGGTTGAATGGTTAAAAACAACGTCAAGGGTCCATGAACAATATCTGCCAACTCAACCTGTTGTCTTCAAATACTAAAGAAGGAGAATGAAGGGTACAGGACTTGATATGACTTGAAATAGATTGAGGCTTATTTGGTAACTTCCTTTATTGGGCCAGTCTTGATCAGAAGTCCACATTAGTATGTGACAGCTAGAGGTACTGTTATTAATGTGTCAGCAACAGTTACATTAACTATTTCAAAGGACTACTGCCCTTAAAAAGAAAAAAACCTTTCAGCTATATTTGTACCCGTGACTGACATCTGGACTGGATTTATGTTTGATGATTTGTTGGGAAAATTTGCAATACAAACTGGTATCAGAATTCCTTATACTGATGATGCACTTTATATTTTTTATTAGAAAGTAGAACTAATTTTAGATTTTCCAAATTGGTGAATTTTATTTTTCCCTGAAGAGGTTTGTTCACTATTAATCTTAAAATTGGATAACATTGTGCAGTGGTGTACTATACTTCAGAGAAAGCATAAAAGTACATCTACCTCAGTCCCTATGAGGTAGCTGTAACCCTTTAAAATGAAATGTCAACTTTAAGGTATGTATTTGACATCAAAACAATCATTAGTAGGTCTTCGATTTTGATGGCACACTAGGGAGAAAGGACACACTGGTTTCATCCGTAGAACTGTTTTAGAGAGTAATCAGCGATCAAACATTTTCTTTGAACTGACAAAGCTCCATGTTCTCTTTTCCTCAATCATTAGTCCTAAAACAAAAAAGCTTTTTGCCTCCCCCTCTTCTCTTTGCTTTTATGGCCACAGTATGCTTATGTGTCATTTCACAAGAAAAAAAGAATAATATTCTCTAGACCATGATGTGAAACCGACAATCCTGTGGCCACATGGCACAAACACCAAATATTGGTTACAATGAAACACCAAATTTTAGCAAAACTTTACTAAATGTAATGTCTGTGAGATATGTTTCTGATTTGGATGACCATTTGATCACTTCATATGAGAAGTTTTGTACATTCCACAGAATACCTCCTTATGGGAAAGTTAATTTCCAATTGTACACATAAGCAAAAAGGCATTTTCTTCAAGAATTTTAAGCACATTTTTATTTTTAAATGATTTATCAAAATTCATCTCTAAATTTTACATGTAGAAACATAAAAAAGTAATTTCTAGCAAGCACTTGACATCTTATTGGCTTTCTGCTCTTTTAGTCTACAAAAGATTAGCAGTACTTTAAGTTGAAAAAAAAAGATCCCTCATAATTAAGCAGTAGAGCATCTATGTTTAGGAAATGTGAGGGGCAACAGATGTGAATGAATGAAAGTTTGGTCTTTCTTAATCTAGACAGCAAACTTAACAGGCTTTCCAATTAGCCTTGCTTTAACCCCTCCTGTCCCTCCTCTGACTCTGCACTTTTCGTGTTAAACTGCAATTACTTAAACTCTTTTCTTGTCTTTCTGGATTAATTTTCTAAAGTTGGAATATAGTCATGTCCTTTTAGGCTATAGAGACTTTTCTTTCACCATTACCTTCTGATCTCTAGTATACAGTATTTCTTTTTCTCACATCTTTGCCCTTTCACCACAATAAAAAATCGGGTGAAGTGTGCACAGTATCTGTATTTCGAATGGCTATGGTGTTAGGTTGAAATGGCCAGGCAAAAATTTAGTCTGGTCATTTTGTTTACACATTGGGAAAAAAATTAGTTTATTAAACATTACCTGTAACTGTATCTGTTTTACCAAGCTGGAACCTTGGAACTTTTTATTTCTAATTTTTATTACTTGAATGTCAGACCGTTTTTCCTGTGATGTACCTAGTGAGTGGAGTTTGCTTTGTTTTATAGTATCTATACTCCTGGTATATTCAAGCACTGTTTTGAAAACAGATGACTTATTTCTCCATTAAAAATGCAATAAAAATAAATGGCAAACAAGCAAAGTGAAACTAAAATACTGGACAGTAGTACGATTTTAATCTAAGATATGAATTCAGATGCACTTACATTGTTCTGAAGGAGAGTAGAGACACTGATGAACTTTCCAACTTAGTCTAGAACGTAATAATGTTTAGGGAAACATGAAAAGGTTAAAATTTCAAATCAGTAAAGGTAAAAAATGAAGTTAAGCTGAATCCAAAAGAAGGCAGGAAAAAAAGGGGGAAAGCATACAAAAAAATAGAGTAAAAAGAAAACACAATCTATGGTCATAGAAATGAAACCAAATATATCTGTCACTACAATAAATGGACAAAACTTCGTGTTTTAAAAAGGCAGAGACAGATTCCATGGGAAAACCAAGTCCAACTGTATGCTGTTTTACTTAAGAGAGACACAACCAAAATAAAAGGATGGGAAAAAGGCATGCTAATGAAAAGAAGCTGGTATAATAACAATATCATTCAAGTAGGTGTCAGAGCAAAAATAATTATTAGGGGCAAAAGGACCATGCATTAATGATAGAAGACCTACCGCATCAGGAACATTGAATAATTTAAAACTTGTCTGCACCTAATAAATTGGCCTCAACATAAAATAACAAAGATGAACAGAAATTGCTAAATATGTCATTATCATAGAAGATTTCAAAACAGCCTTTTATTAACTGATATCAAGCAGATAAAAATAGAAGGGAAACAGTTTTTGAACACAGTCCAGCGTAGTGGCTGGTGGACTTTTCACATTAAGGACCAGATAGTAAATATTTTCAGCTTTGTGAAGCCGTCCAGTCTCTGTCACAGCTACTTAACTCTGCCTTTGTAGAGGGCAATCAGTCATAGACAATATGTAAACAGATGGCCAGAGCTGGATTTGTCACCCATCCCCCTCAGCCATTGTTTGCCATCAATGATCTGGGGAACATTTGTTATAGAACCTTCCACCCCACAATTGGAAAATGCATATTATTCTTAAGTATTGGGTGTGTACAAAAATTAACCTCATGCTATATCAAAAGTAATATTTAACATACTTCAAAGTATCTGATTTATAGGACATGTTCTCTGACCACAGAACAGTAAGTTAAAAATTAAGTAACAAATAGCATAAAGAAGACACAAAAAAGCTCAAGTCATAAAAGAAGAGATTGGTACAATTAAGAGATTTTGTTCATCAGATAATGAACAGTGAAAAGTGAAAAACTGAAAAACAGGCCCTAAGCTGGGAGAAGATTTTGTGATAAGATAAAACTGACAAATGGCCGGGCGCGGTGGCTCAAGCCTGTAATCCCAGCACTTTGGGAGGCCGAGACAGGCGGATCACGAGGTCAGGAGATCGAGACCATCCTGGCTAACACAGTGAAACCCCGTCTCTACTAAAAAATACAAAAAAACTAGCTGGGCGCGGTGGCGGGCGCCTGTAGTCCCAGCTACTCGGGAGGCTGAGGCAGGAGAATGGCGTGAACCCGGGAGGCGGAGCTTGCAGTGAGCCGAGATCTGGCCACTGCACTCCAGCCTGGACGACAGAGCGAGACTCCGCCTCAAAAAAAAAAAAAAAAAAAAAAAAAAAAAAAACTGACAAATGATTACTATCCAGAATATATTAAGGATGGCAAAGGAAAAAGTCTATTTTAAAGATCAACAGGCCGGGTGCAGTAGCTCATGCCTGTAATCCCAGCACTTTGGGAGGTCAAGGCGGGTGGATCGCTTGAGGCCAGGAGTTCGAGACCAGCCTGGGCAACATGACAACATGACAAAAAGCCATCTCTACTAAAAATACAAAAATTAGCTGGTCATGGTGGCACGTACCTGTAGTCCCAGCATGTACCTGTCAGTCCCAAGAGGCTGATGCAGGAGAATCGCTTGAACCCAGGAGATGAAGGTTGCAGTGAGCTGAGATCGCGCCACAGCATTCCAGCCTGGGTGATGGTGACAGTCTGTCTTTTAAAAAAAAAAAACAAAAAACAAAAAACAAACAAACAAAAAAAAAAACTGGATGCAGTGGTTCATGCTTGTAAACCCAGCGTTTTGGGAGGCCAAGGCAAGCGGATCACTTGAGGCCAGGAGTTTGATTCCAGCCTGACCAATGCGGTGAAACTCCACTTTTTGTATTTTTCTCTACAAAAGATACAGAAATTCGCTGAGCATGGTGATGCGCACCTGTAATCCTGGCTGCTTGGGAAGCTGAGGCATGAGAATCGCTTGAACCCAGGAGACGGAGGTTGCAGTGAGCTGAGATCATGCCACTGCACTCCAGTCTGAGCGACAGAGCAAGACTCTGTCTTAAAAAATGAAAACAATAAAATCCCCAACAACCCAGCTTTAAAAAATGGGCCAAAGAAACGCATAAGCATTTCACAGAAGAGGAACTAGGAGCGGCCAATAAACGTGAAAATTTGCCCAATCTCAGTAATAATAAGGAAAATACAATATAAGACCAGAGAGGTATTTCTTTTTTCTTTTCTTTCTTTTTTTTTTTAACAAAAATATAAAAGTCTAACAGTGTCTAGGTATGGTGAGGATGAGGAGCAATGGAAACTCGAACACGGTGCCAGTGAGAACATGGTGCAAATTGTTTTGGCCCCTTTGGGAAGCAGCTTGGTCTCAGCTAGCACAGTTGACAGCGGGCCCACACTCTGTGTTCCAATTATTCTACTCGTAGGTCTTCACCCTTGTGCTGTGGGACACTGGTGTACTTCATCTTACTGATCCCCTTAGTCTTTGGGGTGACCAGCGTCTGTGGGACCACAGCCACGTCCAGAACCCTACACACCTTCTAGTTTACCTCCAGTGTGCCATTTAAATACCATAATTTTCTCTAGTATTTCTCGTGGTGGTAGAAAAGTCAGCATTTGAAAATGAGTATTTATATCAATGTTTTGTCGTAGCCTAAAGTTCCAAACAATCCACATATCCATCAATGAGGGAATGGCTGGATGATGGCATATTTGTGCAATAAATACCATAAAGTTGTGAAATTAAACCGTAGCTACCTGCGTCAGTGTTAGCTGTGTCTCATCATGTTGGGGGGAAAAGCACATTGCAGAAAAATGCACAGAGCATGATACCATTTATATAAGGTTTCAAAATAAGCAAAGTAGAGCAGTATAATTTAGGGTTCCAAAAATGTGTGGTATAACTATAAATGAAAAAAGGCCATGTTAAACATGGAATCCAGGAAAGTGATTCCCTTTGGTAGCATGAGAGGTGGGGACAGGCAGGAAGATGTGCTTGGGAGGGTTGATGGGATTCTGGAACTAGTTCATTCTTTTTAGGTTGGGTGGTGGATGAAATGGTGTTCATTTTGTTATTAATCTAAGTTACAAATGCTTTCATATGTGTGAAATATAATTAAACAACCAATACCAAAGTGGTATCTTTTTGTTTTTGTTTGTTTGTTTTGAGGCGGAGTCTCACTCTGTCACCCAGGCTGGAGTGCAGTGGCACGATCTTGGCTCACCACAACCTCCGCCTCCCGGGTTCAAGCGATTCTCCTGCATCAGCCTCCCAAGTAGCTAGGATTACTGGCACCCGCCACTATGCGTGGCTAATTTTGTATTTTTAGTAAAGATAAGGTTTCTCCACGTTGGTCAGGCTGATCTCAAACTCCTGACCTCAGGTGATCCACCCGCCTCGGCCTCCCAAAGTGCTGGGATTACAGGCATGAGCCAACACGCCCGGCCTACCCCCAGCATCTTCAAGTCAGCAGTGGCATGTCGAATCTCCATCATTCTTTGAGTATTTGACTTCCTTTCTGCTTTTTAAAAAGTCCATGTGTTTAGGTGAGGCCCACCTGTATAATGGAACCCTTTTGATGAACCCAGAGTGAACTGATGAATAAACTTATTTACATATCTGCAAAAATCTATTTTGCCATACAACAAAACATAATCATGAAATGACACAAACAGTTCCCACTCACACTCAAGGTTGGAGGGCGGGTTATGCAAAGCCAGGGTCACTGGGGGTCATCTTAGAATTCTGGTTGCCACAGTCTGCCATCTGGCCTCCAGTAACCCATAGTTACACCCGCATGCAAAACACACTCACCCCATCTCAAGGTCCCCCAGTCTCATCCTATTACAGTATCAGTTCAAGTCTAAAATCTCATCATCTTAAT